TTGCTCGTTCCCCCTATACGTGGCTGGTTTCCACAGATTTGTAATGCGCGGCTCTCCCTTTTTTTTTAGGTTTTTGGGTGGTATTTATAGTTTCTAGGAGTTTTAGACAGGTTGGAGTCGATTTGGACCGAGAAATATATTTTAGAAATCTGAATTTCCCTTTCACGGAATGCAGCTCCTAGGCGCTGAGTTTCTGTTGGAATTACAACATTGTGGCGCTTGGGCGCCCGGTTCGCCTGAAATGGCATTCTGGGCGTATTTCAGTATTTTTAGCATAACTTTCTCCTTCGATATCCAATTAAGTGATTCAAGATGCGTTGGTAAGGTAATTCAAAGGGCTACAACTTTGCTTCAGGCATCATTCTCCAATTCGATTGTTTGCTATGTCGAAAATGGGTCTGAATGTGGGACTAAAAATCCGGTGCAAAACTTTTCGGTTGGAAAATGATTTATGATCATATCTTGATTAAATTTGATTCCTTTTGGCACCTTCCTTCATCCAATTGACTCCTACCACTCTCGGATCTTCATTGCAAGTTCCGATACAACTTTTGATTATGTGCACTTTAGTCCTCGAACTTTGGATCTCTTACATTTTGGTCATTTCATCCAATTTCACCAACTTTTGCCTATTTCTTTCATTTGGCCTCTTTTAGCACTTGTTTCTCCACTTCATCCATCCTTCAAAATAGCGTGAAAACCACATGTTAGCACCTCTAAAATACTCTTCAAGATAGCAAAATCATAAAATTAATGACATAATATAATGAGTGTAAATCACTCATCAATATTGGAATTAGAGAAATGTTGCTTTTTACTCACCATAGCCGGAACATTAAATGAATTTCATGTTTGGACATGAATTATTTTAATGTTGTGAACAATTGTTATTCATGCTTATTTTGATTAAGATCTTTATGGTATAGTAAGCTACAAATAACATTTATATTCTAAATACTAAGCATTCTATAATGAGTATAGAATTATTATTATTATTATTATTATTATTATTATTATTATTATTATTATTATTATTATTATTATTGATAATGCACACAAATTAAAATTAAATATATAAATAATAGAAAAAACAAACAAATAAATTGTTTTTTTTAAACACACAAATAAAAAAAATTGCACACAAATCACACAAAATAATAAAAAAAAAATAGGCAATTAGACAATTTATAATACACTCCCCCCAAACTTAAACTAAATATTGTCCATTATTATTATTATTATTATTATTATTATTATTATTATTATTATTATTATTATTATTATTATTGATAATGCACACAAATTAAAATTAAATATATAAATAATAGAAAAAACAAACAAATAAATTGTTTTTTTTAAACACACAAATAAAAAAAATTGCACACAAATCACACAAAATAATAAAAAAAAAATAGGCAATTAGACAATTTATAATACACTCCCCCCAAACTTAAACTAAATATTGTCCTCAATGTTAAATGAGAAGAAAAAGAGGAGGACTTTCTTGAATTGTCTGAATTGCCAACGATAGTCTGGTGCTCTAATGTTGAATTTGATGGACGTTTCTTCTAGCTTTCTCCCCAAACTTGAGATTTATCCAGCTTCTCCTTGTCAATGTTGGTTGATTGATCTGCGACGACATGTTCCTGAAAAATCACAATTAGATATTAAATTCATGGAACAAGTGGTGTTAGCTCAAACATCAATAACGAACTTGATTTTTCAAAAACCTAAGGGACGGATAGGGTTGATGAATTCCTAAATAACTACTCTGAAATAAAATAAATTATCCTAAAATTCAAAAATAGAATAAATAAATAAATAAAGTAAGTGAAAAGGTAAGAACGCTTGGATTGCCTCCCAAGAAGCGCTTCTTTATAGTCACTAACTTGACTCAACCGCAATGCCTACGGTGGATTCTCAGGTGGCACATTTCTCTTGTTTCTGAACTTTATCTTCGACTTTGTATTCTCCTTCATTGTAAGATGGTGAATAAATTTAGGCTGTTTTGACCTTGGTATGGCTTTCAAGACCTCTTTTGGTTTGGCAATGTTTAGAGGTTTCAAACGCCTATCTACATAGCTCTTTTTTTTGTCAGGTGGGTCAGCTTCTTGAGCTAAAATGAAATCCACTGCTTTCTTCATTTCCGAGTCATTACCATCAGTAGATGCATCCCTTGTTGAGTTACTAATTTCCATGTATTGCACCAACGGATCATAAAATTATTTCCTTTTTTCTCCATTTTCTGCAATTACTTCAGCTGATTGGATCATTTTGCAAGTGTTAACTTTTCCTTTTTATAGGGCTTTCTTTTCTTGATGGATGTTGAAAGTTACTTGCTCTTCATTAACTCGTAGTGTCAACTTTCCTTCTTGCACATCAATCAATGCTCTTCCAGTAGCCAAGAAAGGTCGGCCAAGAATCATTGGTACTTTCTCATCCTCCTCCATGTCCAATACCACAAAGTCCATCGGAAAGATGAACTTATCAACCTTCACCAACACATTTTCAATAATGCCTTTGGGATATGTGATCGATCTGTCCGCTGGTTGCAAGGTAAGGGTTGTGGGATTCACTTTTCTAAGACCCAACTTTTTGAACACTGAAAAGGGCATCAAGTTTATGCTAGCTCCAAGGTCACATAGTGCCCTATCAAATGTGATACCACCAATATTGCATGGGATGTTGAAGCTGCCCGAATCTTTCAATTTGTGAGGGAGCATCTTCTGAAGTATGGCACTACACTCCTCTTCAACTTAACAATCTCAAATTTCTCCAACTTTCTCTTCTTTAACATCACTTCCTTTAAGAACTTGGCATAGTTAGGCATTTGGGCCAAGGTTTCTGCAAAGGGAATGTTGATGTGGATTTTCTTGAAGACCTCCAGAAACTTTCCGAATTTTTCATCAAACTCCTTCTTCAAATACCTCTGTGGGAATGGTAGTGGGGGCTTCAAGATAGGTGGGTTGTCCGAAAATGAAATTGAGTAAGGCTTATAAATCTTCTTTGTTGCCTCTGCCTTAGTTTTCTGCCCTTCAGTCTGCTTTTCCCTTGCAAGAATGTGATCCGATGTAGGTACCCCAGCCTCTCTAAGCTTGCGTTCTTCAACTGCTTTACCACTTCTTAGGGTGATAGCATTGCAGTGTTCCCGTGGGTTAACCTCTGTGTCACTAGGAAATTGTCCTTTTTGTTGAGACTGTATTGCAGTTGCTATCTGACCAATCTGTACCTCCAAATTCTTCACTGTAGCCCCCAAGTTGGTCATATGTGTCTCAATGCTGTCAAGTCTTGCCTCATCTTTGTTGAACCTCGATCTGGTCTCCGAAATGAAGGTTCCTAAAATATCTTCCAGTGATAGCTTTCGCTCAAACGCTTGATTATTGAACCCCAGATAGTAGTTGTTTCCTGAGTAGTTTCCCTTTTGATTGAAATTCCGATCATTCACATACTGAAGTTGTTCATTCTCCCTTTCAACTTTTTGGTATGCAGTGGATGTAGCCATAATAGATTTTGATTTCTTTTGTGAACCATGTGAAGTCAATGCAGCTATTTGATTAGTGAGAGATGACATTTGAGCTGCAAGGGCGGTTATAGGATCTACTTCATAAAGGCCAGCAACTTTCTTTGCACTTGAACGCTCACTCGGCCATTGATGGCTATTAGTAACTATCTCATCCAATAATGCATAAGCCTCATTTGGAGTTTTGGATAATAGTGCACCCCTTGCTACAGAATCTACCACTATCCGTGTCTGACCATTCAAACCATTGTAGAAGGTTTGTATCTGCAACCAATCCGGGTAACCATGCTGAGGACATCTTCTGAATAGATTTTATATCTCTCCCATGCCTCATAGAATAGTTCAAAGTCTAATTGTCGAAACTGTCCAATTTCACTCCGTAATTGCGCTGCCTTCGAAGGCGGAAAGAATTTTGTAAGAAACGTCTGCGCTAACCCCTCCCAAGTTGTGATGGATCCATACGGCAATGATTGGAACCATGCCTTGGCTTTGTCTCTTAGGGAAAAGGAATATAGGCGGAGTCGGATTGCATCTTCAGTAACGCCATTCATTTTCACTATATCACAGATCTCCAGAAAGGACCCCAAATGAGTATTTGGCTCTTCTGTTGGAGCTCCCCCAAACTAATTCTACTGCACCATGTGTATAAGTCCTGGCTTCAGTTCAAAATTGTTTGCAGCAATTGCTGGGCGTGCGATGCCAGAATAGTTGTCATTGACAACCGGCCTTATGTAGTCCCGAATAGCCCTTTGTTGGTTATCCTCATTGGCTGCTCTAGCGTCCTGTTCTGCCATTGCTTCTCGTTTGTTTCTTTGCATGCCTCTGAGAATGTGAAATGTGCGTTCTGGTTCAGGATCAACAGGTAGTAGGTCCAGATTTATCGCCCTTCGCATAAACAGCTGAAAATAACCACAAGGGAGCTCTTAAAAATAGACACAAAAAGAATAAAATAAAAATAAAAATTACGATAGAAATAAAAATCTAAAGTAAAATAAAAGCTAATTGGTAATAATATCAATTGAATTCAAATAAATCAATCCCCAGCAACGGCGCCAAAAACTTGCCACGCGGTTTATGCAACGTGATTTTTAAACTGCAAGTGTACGGTGTCAAGTTTTGTAATATAGTAAAGAAGTTAGGATGTCGAACCCACAAGGATTGATATTCGAATAAATTGAATACTATAATTATTTTAGCCCTTACTTTATTTAGACAATCAAATGTTGAAACGATGTTTTATGCTAAATTAAAATAAATGGGATGAACGACGCAAGTAAATGAGGATAAATTATAGAATTTCTTATCAAATTATGAATGCCTATGGAATGATTTCACCGTACCTTCGACAGTGTTTTTCAACCGTATAACTATTTCTATCGATCTTTCCAAAATTTATAGGCAAGAACACTAAAGTGATTCTATTTCCCTCTCTCGAGTGCTAAATAAAATTTATTTCTATATTTTAATTCCAATATCTCTATTCTGAATTAAAGATATAAAAATTATCAAGCACGTGGTTCTTAATTAAAACAAGCCTCAAAGATTCGCACCTTCTCTCGAAACCTACGAAATCTAGGTTATGTTGTCTTAGATCACGCCTAAATTTGCTTCTCTCGAGCGCCAAAATTTAGGACATCAAATCAATCAATTAGTGGCCAGTTAGTTAAAAGCATTACGCACAAACAACATAAATAAATAAACGGAAAGATTAATTGAAATAATTAAAACGGAATTCAAACATGTCTAAAGCAGGCTACATCAACCCTAGGATTAAAGTTTAGTACATAATTGAAAGAATTAACACAAGTAAATTAAAATGAAAGCACATGGAAAAGAAAAACAAATGGAAAAACTCGTTTGTAGCAGCTTGATTTCTTCCCCAAAATTAATTCCTTCAATTGTATTTGTCTTTCCAGCCGTGCCCCTTTTTCTCCTTTCTTCCTTCTCAATCCCAGAAGTTTGAGCCAATGAAAAACCCCTTCAATTGTTCTGTAATCGCCGACTGTTCTCCCCAGAATTCTCTTGCTCGTTCCCCCTATATGTGGCTGGTTTCCACAGATTTGTAATGTGCGGCTCTCCCCCTTTTTTTAAGTTTTTGGGTGGTATTTATAGTTTCTAGGAGTTTTGGACCGGTTGGAGTCGATTTTATATTTTAGAAATCTGAATTTCCCTTTCTCGGAATGCAGCGCCTGGGCGCTGAGTTTCTGTTGGAATTACAGCATTGTGGCGCCTGGGCGCCTGGTTCGCTCGAAACGGCATTCTGCGCGTGTTTCACTATTTTTAGCATAACTTTCTCGTTCGATATCCAATTGAAGTGATTCAAGATGCGTTGGAACGTAATTCAAAGGGCTACAACTTTGCTTCAGGCATCATTCTCCAATTCGATCGTTTGCTATGTTGAAAATGGGTCTGAATGTGAGACTAAAAATTCGGTGCAAAACTTTTCGGTTAGAAAATGATTTATGATCATATCTTGATTAAATTTGATCCCTTTTGACACCTTCCTTCATCCAATTGACTCCTACCACTCTCGGATCTTCATTGCAAGTTTCGATACAACTTTTGATATGTGCACTTTAGTCCTCGAACTTTGGATCTCTTACATTTTAGTCATTTCATCCAATTTCTCCAACTTTTGCCTATTGCTTTCATTTGGCCTTTTTTAGCACTTGTTTTCTCCACTTCATTCATCCTTCAAAATAGCGTGAAAACCACATGTTAGCACATTCAGACCCATTTTCGACATAGCAAACGATCGAATTAGAGAATAATGCCTGAAGCAAAGTTGTAGCCCTTTGAATTACCTTTCCAACGCATCTTGAATCACTTCAATTGGATATCGAATGAGAAAGTTACGCTGAAATATTGAAACACACACAGAATGCCGTTTCGGACGAACCGGGCGCCCAGTCGCCATAGTGCTGTAATTCCAACAGAAACTCAGCACCCAGGCGCCCAAATCGCAATGCCCAGGCGCTGCATCCAAGAAAGGGAAATTTAGATTTCTAAAATATATTTCTCGGTCCAAATCGACTCCAACCCGTCCAAAACTCCTAGAAACTATAAATACCACCCAAAAACCTAAAAAAAAAAGGGGAGATTCGCACATTACAAATCTGTGGAAATCAGCCACGTATAGGGGGAACGAGCAAGAGAATTCTGGGGAGAACAGTCGGCGATTACAAAACAATTGAAAGGGATTTTCATTGGCTCAAACTTCTGGGATTGAGAAGGAAGAAAAGAGAAAAAGGGACATGGCTGGAAAGACAAATACAATTGAAGGAATTAATTTTGGGGAAGAAATCAAGCTGCTACAAATGAGTTTTTCCATTCTTTTTTCTTTTCCATGTGCTTTCATTTTAATATACTTGTGTTAATTCTTTCAATTATGCACTAAACTTTAATCCTAGGGTTGAAGTAGCCTGCTTTAGACATGTTTGAATTCCGTTTTAATTATTTCAAATAATCTTTCCGTTTATTTATTTATGTTGTTTGTGCGTAATGCTTTTAACTAACTGGTCACTAATTGATTGATTTGATGTCCTAAATTTTGGCGCTCGAGAGAGACAAATTTAGGAGTGATCTAAGACAACATAACTTAGATTTCGTAGGTTTCGAGAGAAGGTGCAAATCTTTGAGGCTTGTTTTAATTAAGAACCACGTGCTTGATAATTTTTATATCTTTAATTCAGAATAGAGATATTGGAATTAAAATATAGAAATAAATTTTATTTGGCGCTCGAGAGAGGGAAATAGAATCACTTTAGCGTTCTTGCCTATAAATTTTGGAAAGATCGATAGAAATAGTTATACGGTTGAAAAACATTGTCGAATGTACGGTAAAATCATTCCATAGGGATTCATAATTTGATAAGAAATTCTATAATTTATCCTCATTTACTTGCGTCGTTCATCCCATTTATTTTAATTTAGCATAAAATATCGTTTCAACATTTGATTATCTAAATAAAGTAAGGGCTAAAATAATTATAGTATTCAATTTATTCGAATATCAATCCTTGTGGGTTCGACATCCTAACTTCTTTACTATATTACAAAACTTGTCACCGTACACTTGCAATTTAAAAATCACGTTGCATAAATCGCGTGGCAGTCTGCTTTTTAGATGTCAAACCTCGACTATTGGTGGCTACTTTCAGAATCACTAAATGATCTATGAACCTATGATTGTAGAAGTGACATCTAGGGGAGGACGCATCGGCCGTTAAGTTGAGATCACATATTGTTCATCCAACGGCAATCACTTCACCTCCTCTATTATAAAATTTTATACTCGCTGTCATTTGAAGGTAATGTAATTTTACACTAAATAATAACCTTGCCCATTGTTATTTTTTCTATCTACAATTCGATTTCTGTGCACATACTTGTGCCTCATATTTTTGTTCATCCCACACCCAATATTCACTTCTAAAGTTGATTGACTTGATCGTCGGAGTTGAGAAAATCTATCAAAATTTCACTAAAGTATTGGGCCGAACAAGTTCATGACACGTTCATTATGAAAATAAATGAATTCAATAAATCATAAACTTGTGGCTTAAAAAATATTTTAGGTAAAAAGAGACTTGTTACGGTCCAATATCATTGCGTAAAGCTTTCCTTATTCTTGAGCTCGACCACCTCCTAATCTAAAGTGCTTTTAACATGCTAGCAAATAAGCATTAGATCTTAGCATGAATCTTGTAACACTTCACTTGCTACATCACCATCAATTGAATCAAGAAGCCAATGTTGACAAAAATAAAGCATTTAGACGCTTAATTCTACCAAAGCAAGAAGATAACTACTTTATACTCATTTGTAGTATGAGATTGTCAATTGATATAGTATTACTTATAAACAGGTGTACAATAAAAATGAATGATAAGTTATATTTATCCCAGACATATTTTTAATTCTTTACTTTTTGAACATGCACATTAGTCAGAGATAGTGGTAGATACAGGAATTCGAGTGAGTTAGAATGGTCGGCGACCATCAACGATCACAATAACGAGATTGTTTATTAATATAAATTAAATAATATTATAAAAATTCAATCAATATATAAAATTATAAATCCATTAAAATGTGAAAATCATATACGTATGAATATATAACCAATACAACCAAAAATAATAAGAAAAAATACAATAACAAATCACTGATTATTGTAAATGGAAAGTTTATTAGTAGATGATAATTTTACCCCTGTAAGTCTAGAAATTATTACCATTGTATACATGATTCTTCCTTATAAATATAAGGCTTTGGTTCCTATAATAGTTATCAATACGAAAGTTTAATTTTTCAAAGTTTCATGAATATAGTAATTTTTTTAAACATAATCATGTATTACATGTACCGAAATTAATTTGGTTACATATGAAATTTTTTATATATACAAGGCGGCTGCTTTTTCTTCTTGACTTTAACATATGTGTACAAACGTGAATAAGTTTACTATACGCTGCCACAACTCTTTTCTTCTCTACTTTAATAAGTATTTTCTAACGATTATCATGCTTTTGATTTGTCAAATCAATTT